TCCTTCTCCAGGCACCAGAAATCGTCGAATTTTGTGAAATCTGATGCTTGTAAACCGCGTTGCAGAGTGTAGAGTGCAGCCCTCATCTGCAAACTGGGCTTTGTAGCCGGCGACTGGGCCGTAAAATTCCGTCCCAAGCTAATTTGGGCTTAATACGCGGCGGCGGATTTTGCTATGTGAAATTCCGTCCCAAGCTGATTTGGGCTTAATACGCGGCAGGGCTTATTAACCGCGGGCTTAATAACCGGCGACTACTGTAACTAAAACGAGGTCAAGCTTGAGCCTGCCCACAAAAAGAGAGAAAAGACAAAGTGTAAACACTACAGCGGCGTAAGCAATATCGATTTTGTCGCAAAGGTTCTGGTCATTATCACTGTCAGACCGCTTTAAAGTGTGCCTGGCCGTAGAACGGGGCACAACCAAATCAGGTCCTTAGCAGGGCGTGCATGTATTGACTGCATATTCACAGTACGGCACATTATTGGGCTCTGAACGGACACAAACAACCGTCGGCGTACTCTGTCCCTGTGGCGCATAAGGAAGCCAGACGGCATGTCGAAAAAAATCATCGCTGTGATGAAGATCTTCTAGAGCGCGACTATTACCCTGGTTCCATTCCATAACAATCTCTCCGGACCATTCCACATTAGGTGTAACATCGTAAAAGGTTACATTCTATCGCCCAATCTATTTAACTACACCTCGGGCTGAAAACCTGAAAGAGCCTTACGCGGTTTTTGTGGTGTCGAATTTGCATCCGGGTATCGGCTAACTGACTTTGACGACGCTGACGATCTAATCCTATGGTGTAGCGGGCGCACGAGGGGACTAAATCAATCGACTTATCCATCAACACCGGGAAGATCAACGCGTTTTCCGACAGGATCCCTGACTGAGCGAGGGCACGCCTCACTATTACTAGTTATTAACCTGAAGAATGAACACCTTCAAATATCTGTATTGCAAAATTTCTTCCAAGTAAATACAGTGAGGAGAGGATTGGTGTCCGAGCAGATGATATTTGTGTGGTTTTCGCAAGCCTTAGAAAAATAATATAGACGTGTTGCGACATCTTCAGTCTCAAAAATCTGCATATTACGGGCACTTATTCGGGGAGTTCCCCCATGTGGATAAAAATGTTATGTCGTGCGCTTGCGAGACAAGTAAAACAGGAATTGTTTGACAACTAGTACCTGAGAACCATTCATTGCGCGAAACAGAAAAATTTGTGCGAAACAAGACAAACTGAGCTCACCGCAAAATATCGAGGCAACCTCGGAACATCCGAGAGAAAAGAAGATAGTTTTTGGGTAATTCTTCGTTGCCCGTTCTATGAATTCAGTGTCACTGTCTCGGATTGGACGCAGCCGTTAACTTCCAGATGTCAGTAAGTATAAACAAAAAAGTGGTCCAAAAAAGTTCGCCCCTTTTCTGAGACTGTATCTGATGATGAGCTCCAGTAAGAAGCCGACATGTTGGGCAATTAAGCGACTCGTTACCGCGACCGCAGTTTAATCTTCAGAAAACTTTGTCAAGACAGAAAAATGGTCCTTGGACCTTCGGTATGCGTTTCAGAGGTGAATCGACTTCTGCAGTTCCACTGCCGGAGACTACTTCTAGTGGAGATCTACAATCAACGAGCCAATCGAGACCCGCATTATTGGTGACGACTACGGTCGTAAAAAGTGCATGGAAAAGATAGGTCGAGACGAGCATGTTCTCTCCCACACCATGTGACTCATGCGCCATCCTTTGCGACGCTA